TCTAAACACACTGCACTACGCCGACTGTAAATTGATCCCTCGTGGTATTTAGCTATAAACAGACCCTTGCCACATGCAATATTTTACCGCACACATGTCAGTCAAACTATAAGAAGCGTATGTATGTGCATTCATATTATACATGGTAGATCTACTTTAGCAGAGTATTCTGAAGGTTTGCATATGTTTCAGAAGAGGGAATGCGAGCAGAACACAGTCTGTGCTGTATGCGTTGTTATGTTTGGTCACACACTGAAATGACTTGCAGCTATCAGTGTGCACTGTGCAAACATTAGACACTGATTCTTTGCACAGTTGGAGTGTTTGAGGGCCTGAAAACCCTGCAAAGTATACAGTGTGACTATAACAGCATCTCTGTAACAGATTATCTGTCTGACAACAAGATCTCTGCCACCTGATGCAGAGATGCAGGAAAAACAACATGAACTCCGAGGGAGTCTGTCCACTAAGGTCTTAAAAATTGCATTATTGAAAACTATTTTCTTTATAAATAATATAAATAACACACATGAGGAACAACTGTTCAGACAATTTAAATAAAAGCACATGTAACATTGGTTTGTTGGTCTTATTTAGATGACGGTGGTACAACTATTGCCTTTTTGTCTTATTTCCTTCAGTGTAGAGTAAAAACAAATGCTCAAACACCGCCTGCGTGGTTCTGTCCATATCTCTCTGCCGTAAAACAACCAGTGAACTTTGTTTGGCATTTAAGTCCCCGTAGTTCCAGAAATGTTGACACTAAACGGAGAGCAGCAGGGAGTTGTGGCCCAGAGGGCAATGCTTGTTTTTCTTTTTGTCAGAGAGGCAAGGGAGCTTAGAAGTGCATGTGAATCAGTTGTGACTGCAGGCTAAAAACACATTCAAGATGTCAACAATCCGCGCATAAAGAACCTTTAGATTAAAAAATAGTCACACATTGGAACATTTTTACATCATACACACACAATTCAGCCTCATACTTGGCTTTTGCCCACCTGGAGCTCTTTTCAGGAAGACAAATTCAGCCCTCAACATGTTAGTAGCTAGAGAGGAAGTGAGAGAAAGAGGTCGTTTACATGAAAGGATGAGAAGTGTGTTATTCAATTTTGTAGCAGATTGTTCATGGCACAGCTACAAACAGACACAGAGCGCATGGGCAGCATGCATGACTAAAAGAGTGTCATCAACTATGGGGGCGTAACCTGGGTGTTGGAGGCGGGGTTTGGCCGCAGCAATTGACAGATTACAGCGGCGGAGGCGTGGCATGTTCTCGCAGACATAGAAGCACGTGGCCAGGCCCATCTGCACGAGGGAGCAGCAACAAAGACCAGCCAGTCTGGTGAACAGAACAGAACACAGGACATCTGCTGTGCACACATGTACACGCACACACACACACACACACGCACACACTCCCCCTCTCTTTCTCTTTCACAAACTCACATGCGAGGGTTCACATTTGTTCACCTCACGCAGGCATGCGGCCTGCAGGGTCTCACGTATCCGCTGCAAAGACGAAGAAACCCTGAGAAACAGCAACTAACCTTATTATTCCAAAGCCGCATCAACATTTATTACAAACATATGTATTAACTTTCTGCAACTTTCCACAATAAACCCACTTACACACACAAACATTTACACACACGCACACACACACAAAGTTACTCCCACGGACATCCAGATAGCCACGAGGATTGTGTGCACAAAGAAGGAGGGGAAAAGAAGAAGGGGAGTTTGGACAATTTAGTGTGTGCCTGGAAAAATATGGGGGGTACTCCCTTCCTGGTCAGAAATAACAAGAAACACATTCATAGAGGAGTTGTGCAGCCGCACGAGTGGGGAGCTAAATGGTTAGTTGGTGCTGATTCAGCCGATCATCAGCCATTTGATCCGATTGTCGCTCTTTTACTATTCATCTCTCTATTGCTTTATGCCACTTTGCTTTCTTTTCAAACCCACAATGCTTCTGGACACATTTCCACATAAATGAGCCAGGTGTAGTTTACCTCACATGTTGCCTCTAGTGTTTTTGTTTAGTGATTTCTCAACAATTACAAAAAAAACAGTGGAAATGGAACCGATAGTAGCAAGGATTTACAACAAAACTGTTCCTGATTTCCCCCAGAATCACACAGGCCCCCTCTGTTTGTAAAAATGGTTCTCTTTACTTGTGATAACCCCCCACACACACACACATACACACACACACACATGGGTCGCCCCTTTAATGAGGGGCTGTACTCAAAGTTGAATGTGGACAGGGCAGGGTGGGGGATCAAGTTTTTGAAGCAATGGTTTAAGTCTGCCTCAGTGCAGAGCTTATCAAGCCCCGCACACAGCTTATGTAAATGGATAAGCTGCCATTTCCACCACTAGCCCCTTTATCAACAGTGTCACCACACAGACGCCAGACACAGGCAGGCTGTGCATCAGTGTGAGTGTGAGTGTGTGTGTGTGTGGGGGGGGGGTTACTGCTTAGTAACTACAGACAGGCCGTAATCCCCCCCTCCTTCCCTCCACACACACACTCACACACAGACCAGAAATGTAACAAAAAACATAGCTGACAATTCTATGCATCTGATGTCGTGGAAACGTTGTCACTGGCTGCTCCTCGCATGTAGGCTACATGTCGTGGTCGAGCAAAAGAATTATTGTCCCACTCCCCCTTTTAATTTAACCAGCAGCATCAATGCACTTACCATACGCACGCGCACACACACTCATAACTGGTGCCAAAACCTACAAACCCACTACAACAGCCAAGCTATGACAGCACGGGGGATGGGTAGGGATACTCGACACCTCCGCTCTCTCCTCACCTGCCCGCCCTCCCTTCACTGAAACAAATGAACCCTCACATACAGACATACACACATGCTTCTTTACATGTCTGCGTTGACACAACACTCACACACAGAGAGCTCAGTGTAAAACACTGACCCGGTTTCCCCCTGACTCCCCCCTCCCTCCCCGTGCCTTCTTGACTTGCATATAAAAAGCTTAAGTCTGTATAACAAGGGAACCACTCCTATAGTTATGTGCATGACACATGGAGGATCATTTCCATTAAAATTCCACCTGATCAGGTTTCACAAGCTCTCCTTAGAACATCTTCTTTTCAGTAGTGAATATTTCATCCCTTTGGTCTAATTTGATTACATTATTACATTGCAGAGAACCTTTAATCAGCAAATAATGCCTTAAGACCCTCCCCTAACACCTTGTTTTGATTAAATGCTAAATTACTTAGTGTTGTTGAAGCAAATAAACAGAAGACAACAGGAACATATTGTGATGTTAAATGAATCACTTTAAATAATAAGCGTGAATGTGGCGACTCACATTATCACCAGCTGTTTTAGTTACTAGAGATTAACAATCTGACCGAACAGGGATGGGTGGTCAAGCAAGTAGTCCTTTAATATTGATCGTGACGTTTACAGGTCTCCTCAACTCTCCTGCTGTTTGTGAAAAGAACGAGAACATGAGGTTCAACAGTTAAATAAATATATTAGTAAACAGAGGTCATTTATTTGACTGAGCGTGGATCCAGGTACGTGTGTGTCCCCTCAGAAAATAGGAAGATCAGAGCAACTGTCTCTCTGGGGGGGAATCTTTTGCCTGTTTCAACCTTGATTCTGGTTTGAACTGGAGCGAGACTCTACCACCCTTCTACAGTTTCCACGAATCCTTCCACTGACGAGACAGCGTGTTCCCCCAAGCTCAGATACGCACAAACAGATGACGCGGCCGTGCCCTCCAGTGTTTGTTTTCTGCTCAGCGTGGCCCGTGGCGCTTGCCCATGTGTGACGTGACACAGACAAGGTGGGGCAATGCGTCGGGACTTGTTAGACCTGCGGGGCAAACTATACAGCACACACAACACACTGCATCGCAGTGGGAGGAAGTTGTTTCTTGTTTCACATAAACATGGCCGGAGTGATGTGATCGGGTGGCCTGTTGGTGTTAAAAAAAAGTGAACGAAAGAACTCACAGGATTATTTGGTGTTAGAATTTCAGTGACAGTGCGGTTAGATCAGGAGGGTGTACGTCTCAAAATATGTTTACCACCAGAGCAGTAATCAAGATTATAGAAATAGGAAAACTCCCCAAGTTTATTCCTTTATTAGTTTATTAACTCCACACAAAATTCCATCAAATACAAGGAATCTTTTCTTTCCACTATATTTTCTACAATAATTATATTGTTAGAATATCAGTCCTCACAGAGTAAGAAAATACTTCTGGTAGAGAAATGCAAAATGTCTTTATTTTAGTGTACGGTTTTAGCCTAAAATACTTGGATATATACTGGGGGCTGTAATCACAGCAAAATGCCAAAATTCTCTGAATCAATACTCAGGTCATCAGGGCCCTCGGTGGATACAACCCTGTTTACCAAACTAGTAACTACGGTTTGTGTGTGTGTGTGTGTGTGTGTGTGTGTGTGTGTGTGTGTGTGTGTGTGTGTGTGTGTGTGGGAGGGAGGAAAGGCATACGCAGCCTACAGTATCAACCTCTCCCATAACAAACATTCTTGTACATTTCTGTGGTTATAAATCTGCACTTGTTTTGTTCCCCTGACATAAAGTATCATACCAGGTGGCTGGAGGGGGGAGGCAGTTTCACCCAGAAATAGTGTCTTCTCACACAATATACACAATATTCAACAAAGAGACATTCCCAGGAGAACATCCTCTCAATAACTATGCGCCCCCCCCCCCCCCCATTCTGACAGCGTCAGCACTGTTATTTAGTTTTGCATTCGTTTAGGTGGATTACTCAATAAAGTAGACTCGAGGCCGTGTAGGTGGATGACGAGTACGTGTGTAATAACGCTGTAACGCTCTGACTCGCGCGCATGCGCACGGCCGACATCCCTTCGATTCCCTAAACTGTACACAGCGCCCGGGGGCTCCTCGGCCAGCCAATGGCGACGCGTTCTTTCGCCCGTGACGTCACCCGCCACTCCTCGTACTAAAGAAGGAAACAAACACATCGTCCAGAAGGAACGGGAGACGGCGAGAGGAAGGGAGCGAGGTAGGAGGGCGAGGAAGGGAGCGTTAAACCCACCCGGCCGACGCGAAGGACGACGCCGCACGAGCAGCTCGGAAAAGGAAAGGACGCCAGCGGGACCTTCAAAAGCCCTCGACCCCCCTTTTTTTCCCTTCCGCCAGGACAAACTTCGCTCGTCGTTTTTTAGCAGGTGATGATCTTGGATTATTGCTTTTTTTTCACTAAAAGGATGAATTTTGAAGTGAGCTCAGCTTGTCGAGGTAAACAACGAAAAGAGGGGTGTTTAACTAAGCGGATGGTCGGTCACGGCGACCTTTACCGGGGGGTGAAAGGTCGGGGGGGGGGGGTTCGTGGTGGTGGTTTTGTGTGGTAAACAAGCTTTCTTTTTTTGTTTGTCTTCGCCTCGCCGAAGTTGTCACCACCACCATCCACCTCCACCTCACTGGAAATATCACAAGCCCCCAAACGTGACTCCGTCTGGTTTGCTCTTGGGGGGGGGGGGACAAGGGAGTGAGCTAGCTAGTGCCGATCGCTGTTTCTGTTTTTCTATTTGTCCCAGGTTGGGGGGGGGGGCAAAGCCCAGCTAATTCCTGTCTAGAAATAGAAAATGCATAAGCCGAATGTGCATGTAGCGCGAAAGAAACGGCTCCGAAGCGACGGCTTTCTGTCGTTAAATGTGAGCGAAAAATGCCCCCCCGCTAGTACATCTGTGCCCCTCCCCCGGTGTTTGTTTTAGCTTTTTAGAAGAAGACGAGGTTTGCTCGGCGTTGTGTGGCACCACAGAGTCGCTTCTCGGGGGACTCTCGGTGCGATGGCGTCTGCGGTAAAACAACGTAGAAAATGGAAACGAGTTTTTTTAAAAACGGTGCGAGAAAATGGGGGAGCTGCTGAAACGACGTTAAACAGGAAGCGGAGAAGCTCGCAGACAAAGGAAGAAACAAAGGGAGCCGAGACCACACTGTCTAGACTGCAGGTTATTTCAGAAGACAGCAGGGCTGCGGCCTTCCCGACGGCCTCTGAGTATCTGCAAACATTTGCGCGCCCCCCCTGTTTTTTGTGTTGTTGTTTTTAAAGAGAAACGTCTGCATATCTGTGTTCTGCCCCCCAGTGTGACTCAGTAGTTTCCACCCGACGTGAAGCCCTCAGACAAGCAGCACCCTATTCCCCCTTTTTTGTTGGCTCGACGTCTTCAACAGCTGTGTTGTTTTCAACGCTGTGCGATAGTCGATCACCTGGCGGCCGAGAAGAACTAGTTTAGATAATCTTTGACGTTTCATTGCTGTGAGTCTTTCGGTTTTGGAGGAAGTTTGAGGCGAATAATTCTGGCTGGCGATCTGCCCATTTGCTGGAAACCCCCTGACTTGCCCCGTCAGGTGTGTTTCCCAATTGTACACGTCACATGGTCATGACGGCTGAAGCAGTAATCTGCCTATGATGAATGTGGTTGAAGCGGCAGACAGAAACCAGTATTAACAACAAGCCCCTATGTTTTATACATCTGTGCTTCTCTTTAATTATGCAGTCCATCATACCAAATGTAGCTGTAATGGAGTTGATGGTTTGAAGTGGAGAGTGCTGGTGATCACATGCAAAGGAGAATTCACGTCCTGTTGCATGCGACCAACCTCTCTGTCAGTCATGTCTGGTATTCTTCAGCGGTCAGCAGTTGGGAACACGTGACACAAAGGCAGAGGAGGTGGCACTTGAGGGGGGGTTGCTCAATATTTAAAGGGCCTCTGTCCACCGTGAGTAGGCTGACAGGACGTTCTCAAACAACTGCCATCGTCTCCTGGAACATTGAGCACGTCTGCACTGTTCGTGCATGACCCGAATGTAGAGGAGCTTCCCGGTCACTGCACAACACGGCCCAAATAATGTCGCTGTGCAACACGGGAGCACTCTCACCCAGCTGATCTAGAACATCCTGTCTGTTGTTCATTCATCAAGGTGTTTTTGATCGATTGCCTCAATGGCAGTGCTTCCTATTACCCGACTTCCTGTCGTATTGCATCGCAGTGGTGATGACGCCATAGGGCTACGCGTTTGCCTCGAGTCACTCGAGAGGGGTTTCAAAAAGCTTCGTTGGGCCAGAGACACAGTGGTGAATACTCATTTCTCGTTTAACTGGAGGAAGTGAATAGACTGACGAGGCAGAGTTAGTAATGGCGAAGAGTCATATCTGGTCGTACAATTATCACTACACTGTGGTGACAAATTTAACCCGGGGACACACAAATGTGACCAAGTCTGTGGGACAGAACAGCATCCAGCTTCTGCCAAGGTGCTGAGCAGAACAGAGCGAGTGTTTGTTTGTTCTCTGGACTTCCTGTGGAGAAGTGTTCATTACTGTGTTCAGGCAAAGTCAAAAGAGAAAGAGCCGTTGTTCTCAAATTTTCATAATATGGCGCTTGTTATCTGTGAGCCCTTTTTCTTTGGCACTGGACCGGTGGGACAGCGCTGTCTTGACAGGGAAACATTGTAGCCCTCAGTTGTATTTCACATTGATCCGTCAGTGCAGGAAAATAGTCTGTGTGTGTCTGTCTGTCTGTCTAACTCTCACCCTGTCTCTCCCATCCTGTTAGCAATGGCGCAGGAGACGAACCAGAGCCAGGTGCCCATGCTTTGTGCCACAGGCTGCGGTTTCTATGGCAACCCGAGAACCGACGGCATGTGCTCCGTGTGCTACAAGGATCACCTCACACGGCAGCAGAGCAGCGACCGCATGAGCCCCCACAGCCCTATGGGTAAGTTCATGACTGTGTGAACTTTGAACTGATTGCACCCCAAATTGGTTTCAGAAGCCCGTGTTTTTGTTTTGAACAAATTGGTGTACCATGAGCTATAAATGTACAACTTGAGATAATGAGGGGGGGGGTTAGAGGGGGTCAGTGTATTTTCTAGCTCTCCTGACCCTCCCTCTCTGTTTTTCCACTCTTTGTGGTGAAAGACAGCTGCTTTCTTCATTACGGTGTTCAAGGTTAGGTGGGTGTTCATTCCTTGCCACCCTGTTGAGACCGTAAGTTTCAAACAAAGCAAACGCAGTACAAAGAGCAGAGAGGTTATCTTGAATCTTGAAAGAATATCTTGAATTGAAATGTTCCCGTCAACTGAATATATTCGTAACCATTGATATGGGGTTGATATTAGAGTTGTATCTGAACAGGTTATTTTTCGCTTGTGATTTTACAGATTTGGCACATTTTGTATGGTTTTGAAATGTTTACTGTTTTGTCTAATGGAGTTCGCTCTCTTCTTGCCCAGGCTCAGCCAGTAGTCCCATCTCCGAGGCCTCTGCCATCCAGAGACTAGAAGCCAGTCTAGCCAAGGTTGACGCCTCCCCTGCCTCTTCGCCAGACATGTCTAGGTCAGTAATGCAATGTTTTTTTTAAGCTACTTCATAAGTGTTGGTGAATGTGAGAACTGGTTCCTTTTCTCTTGCTCATCTCTGTTAATCTCCTCTACAGAATTGTTCAAGGATCTCTTCCTGTGACCCAACAAATGACAGAGATGAGCATCTCGAGAGAGGACAAGCCTGAACCGTTAGAGCCTGGTAAAACATACTCACTTAGACACACTTGTAGTTTATATGGACTGGCCAACATAAACTAATGGCGGACAGGCGAAGATCAGACACATAAAGATGAATCATGCTTACATACAGACTCCGTAAGGCAAATATTGCCTTATAGGAAGCACTCTATCAATTTTTTCCCCCGCTTTTTTTGTGCTTGGCTGCATACCTTCAACCCAAACTGTTGGTTTTACTTACAGTCTTAGAGAAAGAAAGGAGGTCCAAAAATAAACCTTGTTTAAAAATACCCCCACACCAGAGGGCATTCTCAGAGTGGATGCTGCCTACCAGAGGCTTTCTCGTGAAATGCAAAGAAAAAAAGGGGCAATTTAGAGAGGAGGCGTTTCCAGTGGGTTTGCATGTCGTTTACAAAGTGTTATGTTATCCCATTAGTTCTATTTCAAAAAGCAATTCAATCACTAAAAAGTAATCATTTCCCCCTGTTGTCTTTCCCTTCCGTAGTTGTAAACCAGCCTTCTGCTTCTAGCACTTCTCCTGTAGCTTCTTCCAGTAGTGAAGAAGGCAAAGGTGAAACCCCAAAACCCAAGAAGAATAGGTGCTTCATGTGCCGCAAAAGGGTTGGCCTTACAGGTGAGTCCTTTTTGTAGTCACGGAACAAAAGACGACCAAGCGTTTTTGCTTTCTACATCTCTAGTCTAGGCTTTCATCTCCCCCTGTTCTGGCTTTGACTCTGAAATCTGTGCTTCCAGGGTTCGACTGTCGCTGTGGCAACCTGTTCTGTGGCATCCACCGGTACTCCGACAAGCACAACTGTCCCTACGATTACAAGGCCGAGGCGGCCGCCAAGATCCGTAAAGAAAACCCTGTGGTGGTGGCTGACAAGATCCAGAGAATATAGATTTTACAAAACGATAGAAGCAGCAACGATGACAACACCTTTTGAAAAAAGACTGGAGTGTGAACCTTTTGGAAGGAGCACCGAGTAGCTAAGTGGGGATCGAAAGGACTTGATGTACAAAATTGCAACCTCAAGAAATGTTGGGAAAAAAAAGAAGAAAAATCAAACGCTCCTGTCTGAGGGAGATGCATGAATGATCACTTTCCTCTTTTATTTTCTTTTTAATTAATTCCTTAGTTGTGTTTTTTTTTTCCTACTTTCTCTGTGTGACTTTGCGGCTGTCCTGTTAAAAAAAAAAAAAAAAAATGTATTGTCTTATTAAGAGCAGCCCAGGCTAACTGCCCGGGATGTGCTGTGCTCCTCTCACCCAAACCAGGGCCATTTTGTGCCAAACCGTAGACAGACATTTTACTCCGACCCTGTCGTGTGTAGGACACTCATGTCTCTCAGCATTCAAACACAGTAACTGTCCACACGAGTTGTGTCCCTCAACCGCTCAGCTTTTTGTTCTGTGCTCCGTCGGTACTGGAGTCGGTCAACGTTTGGAGAACCGTACCACTGTCCCCCACCGTGCACAAGGGGCTTTGTTACTTTGTCTCTGTCTTTCCTAGCTTTACCTACCTCACAGCTGCTGTGTTAAGCTTTGTTGTTGTCGTCTCTGTTCCGTTCGTTTTCATCAGCTCTGACCCCAGCAGAACTATGGATCATCTTGATAGTCGGCCTCAGTGACCCTCTGATCAGCATGTCTGTGTTGACCTTGATTGGTTTGATTGTGATGAGGCTGTCCATTAAGGCTGGAGGTATCATGCTAGACAGGCACAAGCTAATTACTCCCAAGTTTTAATAAACGTTTTCAAACAGTGGATGTGGGATAACGGGGTTATTTTAATGGCAGACGCCTGGTGCAGGGCTGTGTGGCCTGAGAAGAAGGATGCCCCACTTCCCTTGCAGGCCTGGTCAGTGTATTTAGGCAGCATTAGTGTAGGAGCATGAATGAATGGGATAAATGCATGAGTTACTCTTCATCTGCGTTAGTGTTTCAGAGATATTTGCCACCTCTCAACTTAGGGTTTCTGATATTTTATTTGCTGAGTGACGATTACCTGTTTTTATTAGCATTTTCTTCCTCTTCCATTGATATTGTACTGATGTTGGCGCATGCATTCAGTGCATTTGTGGAATTAGGGTATGTGAATCATGATTTTTAACTTTTTTTTTTTTTCTTAATACGCTAACAAAACATTTGCGTGTGTGTGTGTTTTGTCTGTGGAGCTACCCGGTTTATCAGCACACGTTTACAGAACTACAGGAGCATGCCAGAGCTAGATTTATGAAAAATAGTAGATACCAGGATTAGATGTAACATCTCATCTGTCTAATGGCTATTGGTCTGTACGACTGCTTTAGAGCACCGTAGAGAAACGCGTGTATGTGTATTTTGTGAGTGTGCATGTGCACATTCCTGTGTAAGAGTGTTTTCATGGCTGCCTGACACATTGAAACCCAATGTATGTTTGTGACTTGTGTTAATTACCCCTTTTTCTCCCCCTGTAAGGATGTTTATTTTATTTTTTCATTTAAAAGAAAACTATGTATTTGTTTTGAGGTTTTTTTTTTTCCTTCGGATTCTTAGTTATATGCAAATTTGTACAAAAAAATGATAAAACAACAAACCGTGTTGATATTTATGTATTACATATAATCTTGCTATCCAGCATTACGACAGAATAGTATCATGTAAATAAAACTGTACAGAGAGACGTTACCAAGCTTCATTGTGTGATGACTTTCACAGCTCGACATTTCTTTCATTATTGTTGTCTTAGTGGAGTAAATGTGGTTATTTTTCAGCATTGTACATTAAAGGGGAAACCAAAAGTTCTTAATAGGGTCATTGTGCTACAGCAGAGAAAATATCAAATGTGAGGCTGTTTTGAATTAATTGGCACAAGATGGTTATAATGGACCACGTCGGAACTCATTTTGATCGAGGCCAGAAGAGTAATGCCGTACCTCTGCTAACCGTGGCTTAATACAAAGCTGTAAACCTTGCTAAAGACTCTTCCTGGAAGAAAGCAATCCTTTTCCACTATATCTAGGCTGCGTGTGTGTGTGTGTTCTCTCTCACACTCCCGTAGGGAGCTCTGTGCCTGAGTTGGTTCACAGATGGCGTCACAGTAACAGCTGCTCAGACAGCTGAAGTGTGCTCATGTGGTGTCCCTAAGTCAGAAAGCCACACAGATCACATTGTCTGAACACGAGTCTAAAGTACAATGGGGTATTTACACAAACTCATATTGAGTGGGAAAACCTTAGTGTTCAAATATAATATTTGAGTTATCTAGTTCCATCTATGGGCATATGAATCTCTCAGCACAGCATCGTCCTTGGTGTTTATCACAAGTAGGCCTATACAAGTCCTTTGAAGCAGAGAGGACAGAAGAGTGTGCTTCTTAAGTAATGCATAGACAGATTGAGCGGAGGATGAACACATTCCAATATGACCCGGAACAAGTGTGTGTGTGTGTGTGTACGCTTATACTTAGTCGTCAGTAATCCCTGAACCTCCAACGTGCACGATGATTTGTTTCACTCTGCTGCCCATTTATGTGTGTCAACCAATGTGTCTGCCATTGGGTGTTACTATGACAGATGTTGTTGGCAGATGTGCAAAACAGACACAGTATAAACACAGTTCTCTCTCAAGGAAAATGTTCCTACCCACATTGAATGCATCTTCCTCATCTACTTTTTGTCCGGGTCCGTCTCAGTTTCATAATGGAGATCTTAAATCACATCTTCAGTGCTTACTGCATTTCATACATTAGTTTTGAGTACTAACACGGGCCAAACATGGTTTTATGCACACAGAATGCTCAAATAGACATGTGAAATACTTGAACATGTAATTGTTAAATGTGTTAAATTGACTCATTCCAAGGGCCCGATACTAAGAAGTTAGAAGGCGTCGTCCCTTAATAATGCAGGATTGGCTCTTGCGCAAACATTGAATATGTTGTGTTCAAAAATGAAGAAACGCCGGACGGACAGAGGGCATCGCAGATCGAAAGGTTAAAATCAAATGCATTTAATAAAAGAGATGGTGTTGTGGTAAAAAGAACATCTCAGCTGAGGAACCGCTGGTCCTCGCAACCAACAGGCCACAGGTCAGTTCTTTGACCATCCCTAGTGCCCGTCTGTCGCCTCCACCAGCGAACTCCAGAACAATGGTTCCTACAGGTATTTATACCAATCCTTAAAGGTGTGAAAGTTAGCGTCCACACCTCTGGGAGTGGTCTTCTGGTGAGTTCAATGTAACTCGGATTTCGAATGACCCTTAGTCAATATCAGTTGTTGTGCAAGTATTACATGCGTGCATTCCAGTTAATTACATTACATCAAATACAATCATAACTGTACATTGGTATTATTCTATTACAGTTGCAGAATTACAGTGGTTTTACAATATTGTCATTACTTTATTGATTACACAGTTTCAGAATCATGGCTGTATTCTGGTGTACACTATATGCATTTTATTAATTTTATGAACCGGGTCGTGAGTTTATTTCTAATATCCTGCAAACACAAAAACACTCTCTGGTCTGTCATCTGGGTGTGAAAGTTGTGCGTGCTGCCCATTTACCTTCAATATGGCCCTGACATGTTTGGAGCAACCAGACATGTTGATGTCCATATTAGCCGGCTTATTTAAGACAACGGCTAAAAACAATTTAAAGCGTGAGGGATTTTAGCACAACCCATTGACAACATGAACAATAACAGAATCACTGCTTTCATTTGTTCTACGCAATGAGCAGGCTCTCAATGGGTGCTAATTACTAATCAATCATTTAAAAAATATAATTATTGTGGAAACAGGCAATTTAATAAAGCATGAGGAGATTAGGACAGCCTGCAGGGGGCCCTCTTCGCCGTGTGCACCATGTTTAACCTTTGACACCGGAAACGGAAAAAAACAACTGCGTTTTGTGACGTCGGAGAGACGCAGTTAACGTTACTTACATGAACCTCCGACATTTTGAAAACTGTCCCATGCTGTAAAACCTTACGACTGCACCAATGATCCCAGCGTCCACATAGAAGAAACGCGGTGGAGTCAGCGCTGGATGTTCCGAGTCAGCGGACGTGTTCACGTTTAGTCAAAAGCGCATAAAAAGCGAAAAGAAGGAACTCGCACGATGGCGGATGTTACTGCCCGTAGCCTGCAGTACGAGTACAAAGCGGTGAGTGCGGACTGTGTTTGAGGAGAAACGTATTCAATACGATTATATGATTTCCAAAGGCTTTATCTCTCGTGGTGTTTCCTGTAGTGTGCTTTAAGTTAACCAGGGAACAAATAAGTAAATGCTTAAAAGTTGTATATAAGTTAAGCCACTGCGTGTTTAGCTAGCCATTCCGCTAACTAGCTTAGCTTAGCTGTGGCGACGGTGGTGCCGCCGCGGATCACCGTAACGTTACGTGCGTTTGTCTCGACTTGGTAGAACTCCAACTTGGTGTTACAAGCCGATCGCTCCCTGATCGACCGCACACGGAGAGATGAACCCAACGGAGAGGTGCTGTCCCTGGTGGGGAAGCTGGAGGGGACCAAGATGGGCGACAAGGCTCAGAGGACCAAACCACAGAAGCTGGAGGAGAGACGAGACAAGTACGGGATGTCAACAACACGTTTGATCCACATTTTTTTTTAAAGTTTATACAACTAACCGTTTTGTGTACATGTTTTTCGCCTCCGTAATCACGTTTATATGGTCGTCAAAGCCTCTCAATAAAGCTGAGAATTAAAATGCTTTTAACCAATTTGAAGGGTCTCGGTGTCTAAACTTCTTTGAGAAGTTGACATCTGGAATTTTTTACAGCAGAACACATTGGTTCTTGTAAATACAAACCCAGAATACACCAATGCAATGTTAAGTAATTATTGATTCATGATTATTTTCCAACCAATAGTAAAATAATATATCTTCATAATTTAATGAATCAGGACTCGTTTAAAAAAATTAAGCAGTTTAATTAAACAATAATAATTAAACCTCACAACAATATATATGTATATATTTTGAATATAATATTTTTATATATATATATTTCTTGTATTGAAATAAATGCTGCAGTATAATTATTAATCTGCTATGGACTGGAATATATCATATAGCATTTGATGTCTTCATGAGTGATGCTAGTTTTAACTCTTTATTTTGCCTTGTTCCGTCGATCCAGGAGGCGAAAGAGAGATGAGGACAGACACGACATTAACAAGATGAAGGGTTTTACTCTCCTGTCTGAAGGCATTGATGAAATGGTGGGCATCGTGTATAAGCCCAAAACCAAAGAAACAAGAGAGACCTATGAAGTGTTGCTTAGCTTCATTCATGCTGCTTTGGGAGATCAGGTCAGTAAACTCTAAAAAACACTTTAAAATTCAGCGCTTTTCTTTTAAGTTTTAACTGACCTTTTTATGTTTCTTTGCAGCCGCGTGATATTCTGTGTGGTGCGGCAGATGAAGTTCTAGCGGTGTTGAAGAACGATAAAATGCGAGACAAGGAACGGCGGCGTGAAGTAGAGCAGCTTCTCGGGCCTGCGGACGATACCCGCTACCATGTGTTGGTTAACCTGGGAAAGAAGATCTCTGACTACGGAGGAGACAAGGACTTACAGAATATGGGTAATTAATAATTACAAAGTAGTTATTATTAACAAGTTACTGACTGAAGAAAATATTGTGACGCTGGACCATATGTTGCCTTTACAGATGATAATATCGATGAAACCTACGGTGTGAACGTCCAGTTTGAGTCTGATGAGGAGGTGAGGGCTTTTTGCTTAATCATTCAAAACAAATGTTATTCCTGATATGTAGCTGAAAGATCTGAGTTTTAGGTGTGTTGTGTCATGTATGTATTTGTCTCTTGTATTTATTTAGGAGGGGGATGAAGATCAGTTTGGAGAGGTACGCGACGAACACTCGGATGAAGACAGCGAAGGGGAGGAGGCCGGTGTGGGCTGCGCTCTTTCAGCCAACGTAAGTAACTTCTGAATCAATGTTTTCCAAAAATAGTTTTTTTTTTTTCCATTATTCCTCATAACACCCCGCTGAGAGTTAATTAGTCACTTGCCATTTAGCTTGGTGCCACGGGCGACGTAATGTCGGCAAAGAAAAAAGATCTACATCCTCGGGACATCGATGCCTTCTGGCTCCAGCGTCAGCTCAGCCGTTTCTATGACGATGCCATTGTCTCCCAAAAGAAAGCTGATGAAGTGTTAGAAATCCTGAAGGTAAGGGTTGTCTGTTGTGAGCTTTTCGCCCGTACACTTGTATATTATTCAGACTTGATCATCAATTGTGTCTCCGTATTCAACAGACTGCCAGCGATGACCGAGAATGTGAGAACCAGCTGGTGTTGCTGCTGGGCTTCAACACTTTTGATTTCATCAAAATCCTCCGTCAGCATCGTCGCATGAGTAAGTCAGTAGCATAGAAGAATGTTTTTTTTTTGAAAATGATTTGGTCTCGTGCCTCTTTTTTTTAAACAATTTTTTCTTCTGACATACAGTTCAGTATTGCACAATGTTGGCAAGTGCTCAGAGTGAGGCAGAAAAGGAGAGAATCATTGGAAAGATGGAGTCTGATCAGGACCTGTCAAAGATCCTTTATCAGCTGCAAGAGACAGAGAAGGAGGATATTATTCGGGTAAGGCCCCTTGCTCGCAAAATTATTATTATTTTTTAGTTCTTTCTGTCCTG